GTGATATTTCAGGTCCTAGTACGTGAATGAAGGTTTGGGAACGAGTTCGGGGTCGATTGGACGAAGTTTGGACGTTTGGCGAGAAGCTGAGAAGCCACACGGGCATGCCTAAAAGCCACACGGTCGTGTAAGGGAACCCACGTGGCCGTGTGGAAATTCCAGGGAACTCACACGGGCAGCCTGGAAATCCACACGGCCTTGTGGTTGTGGCCGTGTAGGATGGCTGAAGGCACTTAATTGAAACGCCGCGTTTTGCACAACTCACACGGGCAGCTGGGAAAGCCACACGACCGTGTGGCCTGCCCGTGTGATTGGGAATTTCTGGGTTTTTACCCCAATTCGAGCCAAAGGAGGAGAATCGAATTTTTGGAGCAAAAATAGAGCCCTAGAGAGAGAAAGTGCGAAGAACACCTCCTAAGAGTGGTTTTGGAGCTGGGTTTCATTAATCAAGCTTGGAAATCATCCTTGGAGTGAAGATCATCATCCTTCATCCCAGAGCAGATTCTTCCCATTGTTATGAGTATGACTGCTTTGTATTCTGTTTTCCTCTCTCTCTCTCTCTCTCTCTCTCTCTCTCTCTCTCTATGGAGTAGAACCCTCTCTCACTTGGGTATGAAGAACCCTAGTTCCATGTGTTAGGGATCATGATTGTAATGACTTGGGATTGTTATACTGTTTGGTTTTAATCGAATGATGCATGATTCATTGAATTAATTGAAGTCTGATTAGCTTTTCTTGATTTCTGCTGCAACTTGAGATATATAGAATCTGATTAGGTTGTTAGAGCTTCTTCATTCGGTAGTGGTAGATTGGTTATACGAGAGTTAATCAATATACTGCTTTGTACTGGAACCCAATTCCAGTAGTGGAGTTCTGTGCTTTTTGCCTCAGTTTTCTATCTCGGTGAAGACTAGTCATCTGCCGGGTAGTTGGACTGAGAGGGCTTGGTCAGCTTAAGAGATTCCAAGCTATTGTCGGATATTTCGCAGTTTAATCAACAGTAAATCAACCCAGGGTAATTACAACTGTGACCTAACTAAGGAGCTAGGGGGACTCATTCCCGAGTGACTCTTCTTTGCTTTAGAAAACCGAATCAATTCCTGCTTTCTTACTGCTTTTAGTTAAAACCACAATCAATCGACTTAGTTGGCTAGATAATAGATATTCACGGAGTAGGCAGTAGATCTAGACCTCGGGTTGATAATAGAACTTGCCACTGTACTGTATTTCCGGACTGCGATTACACTTGGTCACAGTTTGGTGTTGTGTCGTAGCGTGTCAATGTCCTTGCATATTGATGTGGTTAAGAGTCTCTCATGTTATTGTTGACCTTGTAAGTAGCTTATGATCCAGTACCTAAGATCAGGAAGCTTGGGTTCATTAAGTTGTATGATTATGAGTATTGTTTGCTAGGGACAAACAAAGTTCAACTATTTGATCACAACTAGCTAGGGTATTTTTGATGACACTACAATTATAGTGTATTTTCCCCTATATTTGATACATTTTCCACTTCTATTGAAGCATCTTTGATCATTTTAATGGTATTTCTTGTCTAAATCATAACTATTTGAACAATGAGCTTTTAATAGACCTAGGTAATGCTCTTATACTATTTGATGCCTTCTTAGTATACTTTTGAAGGTATAAAGCAGCCTAAGGACTATTGGATCAATCATTGGATGACCTGTAGGGCTATCTAGAGGTCGAGGTGACCATCCCCTTCTAGTTAGATTCTCACCTAGTCGATGCTTGTCGAGTAGGTGCATGAGCATCGAACTAGCCGACTTGTGTGCGAGCGTATTTAGGTAGTTTAGAGGAGATAGAACCCATCTCTAGTTAGGTAAACCAATTGACGTGAGATTGGGACGACAATCCTAGCAAGGAGGGGGATCGATTGCATGACCATTGAGTTGATCCACACTTCGTGACCTCCACACCTCAAGATACCATTAGATTATCACCTTTCACAACCTATAGCTAGAGGGAATCAACCCTAGACCACCATCTCATCTCTAGCGGTCCCCCAACCACTTGGTTGATTGTTTAGTTAGTTAGGTTAGGCTAGTTCTACCCCCAACCTTTCAAGTTGATTAGATATTAGTTTGGAGCGAAGTAATAGTAAGCCTAAGATTCCCTTGGAATAGGATCGAACCACTTTACTACATCTCTAGCATAGTTATACTTGGCTTTGTTAGGATAGATGTGAGTGCGCTTCGACCTTACAAATTATAAAGCTTACACATCATCAAGAAGCCACAAACTTTCATTTTGATCACAACTTTGTTGCCTACTGGAACACATTGGCTGCTGCAATATAGATTGGGTTTCCTCCCAGATTTTCCTTAGCTTGGTATAGAAGCTAGAGTAAGACTTTTTTCTTGCTAGAGAAAGCTTACGTGCCTATGTAGTTCATACACTCACGTCATATTCCCTTTGCTAAAGCAATCTCAAAGATCTTTCCTAATCTCCTCTGCGGATGTTAATTACATACATAACGCTGTTGCGCAGCTCGACGTCCATGGTTGTCCGCAGCCAGCCCTTCACGAGGGCATCACAACTTAACCACGCATGCGACAGTTGTGTGTTGTCTTATGTGCAAGAGATTGTTCCATTGACAACCCAATTTTTAACTTAGTGACCAAGGCATCCTTCATCTCAAGGATCCATTCGCTGTAATTTGAGTATTTGACGGAGTTAACATACTACTACGTGAAGGTAGCCTAACCTGTAGAATTGGTGATGAAGTAGGGACTGTGCACGTCAATATCTTTGTATCACGTGTCATGAACCAGTTGCTCCCAATAACTCGAGTTATTGGGAGCAACTAGTTCATGACATGGTATCAGAGCTGGTTTGTCCTTGAGGGCACGTGTTCAAGTCCTCACGACCCCCAATATTAACGGTTGTCTTCAAACCCCATGGTAGGGTTGGGCCTGTGCAAACTTCAAGCCCATGAGTCGGCTTTCGTTTGAGGGGGTGTGTAAGGAAGTGGTTAAGTACCATACACGGGCCTGTATAAGATCCAGGATAACCTTCTCCCAACAACTCGAGTTATTGGGAGCAACTGGTTCATGACATCACGAGCCTGAACTTATTGACTTCAACGATGTTGGCATCTTAAGGCTTGAATCACCACTAGTCATACCGTTGCTTCAATGTGGATCAGAATTACAACTCTTACACTATGAAAACTATGAAGAATCAATAGAATGAGACAACGATTTACGTTGTATCCCCGATTGACGAGATTAGTCTAGGAGAGAGCTTTGCTCTTCGGGTTGAATTCTTATTGATTATACTTAGTTATGGTCGACATCCTTACATGCTCCTTTATACCCTTTGCTACATACACCTAGGGTAATAGTAAAAGGGAAGTCAAACAAAGCACATGAGCGGGCCATAGTGCTAGGCTTGTTATGAGTAGCTTAGCTGGGCTCTCGACTAAGCTTTTGGCTCAGCTTGTGTTGGACCAGGTCTATTACCAACTATATCATTATATTAATCAAATACATATTGTTCAAATTTAAGAACTAATGGCAATTTAAAAAGTTGGTGTATGGAGGCATTGTGCAAATGAAACAAGGAGAAATGTGAGGGGGAAAGTAGGGCTGACAATCGGTTCAATTCGGTTATAACCAGAGTCGTTTAGTCGGCTCTCAATTAACTATTTATACACTTTGTGCTTATCGTTAACCTCACGTTTATATTAGTCGATTAACTATAACCGTATAGTCGATTCTCGGTTATTTTATCAGTTAACCGCATAAACTGTTCAAGAAGTGATTCGACAAGGATATACCAAAATAACTGATCGGTAACATAACCAAAAGAAGACCTCATTTTTCAATTGTGTATTTTTGTAGATTTTTTCCTACATTTCCTTTGTATTTTTTTAAGTTGTTGTCGAGATACTGTGTGCAAGTCCAACTTTGTACCTCGCTCCTTCTATAGTCTTTGCTTGAAATTATTCTTATTGGACCTAAGTCACTATTACAATTAGGGTAGGCAATGGATCTTGTAGGTATTCAAACATCTCATTATTTTCGGCCTAAGAAGAAATTGTAATACCAATTATTTATTCTTTATTATTTTGCATCTTTTCAAAATAATTGTCTGCGGTTTATCGATGCCTATTTTTTCAGCTCTGCGTATGAGAATGGCTGTAATTAGTTAGTCATTTAACCATTTAATTGTCAATAACAAATCATTTAACCATTGGTTAGTAATTAGGTAAATTAATCTACTTAAAATCAATTTTTTTATTGATTAATCAGTTATCGGTGTAACCGTCAGCCTGTTTGGATATGCTAAATTTCGAGGAAATGAAATTCTAATTCTCAAACTTTTTCATGATTCTCATGTTTGGAAGTAAAAAATAAAAAAGAAATGAAATTTCAAAAGGTAAAAAGTTGGAAATTCTAAATTCTACCAAAAGTGGTCGGAATCGATAGAGGATTGATGGAATTAGTGGACCCCACATTAATTTTGATTCTTCTTTACAAGAAAGCCCTTACTATTTTTGGATTTGAAATCATTAATATCAAGGATATTATTATAAAAGCACTTGTACGAAATTATTTCCATTTTTTTCAAACATAAAAAAAAGAAATCATTTCTCAAACTTTTGGATTTGTTCCAAACATAAACTATTGAAATGAATTCCCACTTGAATTCAGAATCTCACAAGAAATGAAATTCATTTTCCAACAGAATTATATCCAAACAAGGGGACTTAGTTAAACGCCAACATGATAACCGTTACCGAGTCGAGAGAGAGGGAAGAAACGCTGCGGTCCGGTCTTTTGTGTCCTCTCTTTCTATTTGTTTCTGAAAACTTTTTTTATTTGGTGGGATGTTTCTGAAAACTTCATTTCTGCAGGCTCTAGCAGCGTCTGTCTTCCTTATAATTTCTTAAAAAACCTTTTCACTTATCTTTTGGATTTTTAATTTTCTAAAACTCTTACAATGCCCTCACTGAGAGATCACTGTTTTTGTTAATGTCTCTCCCCACCAAACGCTCTGCCACTGCTGCTGCTCCCACCACCACATTCTCCGCCGCCGCCGGCTCCTCCAGTTTCCCGCCGATGAAGAAGGCTAAGTCTCAGGCCGTCTCCGCCTGCTCCCCTGTTGATCCCTCCTCCAACAAAAACGGCCTCCACCACTTCACCGCTCCTAATTCCGACGATAACGATATCCTCTTCGAGCCTTCCTCCATGGCCCTCGACGATGAGCCTAAGCTCGTTGACGCCGTTCCTCCCACCGCCGCTAATTTGTCACGCAAAAAGGCCATCCCTCCCCAGCCGGCCAAGAAGCTTGTCATCAAGCTCCTTAAAGGTACAAATTCGTCCCCCTTACTTTTTTCGTGTCGCAATTCGAGGCGGAGAATGGGGTAATCTCTCTTCTTTCGGTGTACAATCAATTAAGGGTTTTTGCTCCTTCCTTTGGAGAGATAGTTCGATTAGCTGATTGCTTGTGTTTGGACTCGGGAATTGACCTGGGCAATATGCTGAAAGGCTGATCTTTGCTTTCTTCTACGGATCCGTGCCGGCAGCATTCCTTCCTTGCCGATACTGTCAAGACATTCATTGGTTTGTGTATCGTTCATTTGGGCTTGCTGCTCAGTTAATTCAGCATAGTCTAAACTTCGTTTCAGTTAGGGTTTTGTTAAACTGTGCAACTTCGTGTCATTTAGGACGGTCTGCTGTTAGGTTTTAGATACTTTGTTATGCATGAGATGTCAAAGGGAAAGCTACTCTTCCTTGAGCGGAGTTTCCATTTGTTATACTTTGGTTTTTGTTGCAATAGAGCCTGGCGTTGGCATAGTTCATTGATGTGATTAAATGTGGAAATGAACCTAGCTTGGGGTATTATTTTTCTCCCCATGTCAACTTTTCATGTATTTACTTCATTTATAGCTGTTAGCTCACAGTAGTATGAGTGGCTTAGGACTGGTTTGTCTCCTTAGTTTTATTTGCTATGTTATATGCGCATAGAGACAGTGGATTGGGTTTACTGACAAGAACAGGCATTAGGCATCTTAGTGGCAATTTTTAGCTCTGCTAATTGTCTTTTCAAAGAAGTTATAATGTGATAGATATTCAATTTGAGGGTCTCTTATGCCTGTACAGTCTCTAATACAAAACACTTGGCAGACAGCCTTCTAATTCATGTCTCATGGTTGAATTTTGTATTTTATTGCCATAATGAAGCTAAACCCACATTGCCTTCCAACTTCGAGGAGGATACATGGGCGATGCTGCAGTCAGCAATTAAAGCTATATTCTTAAAGCAACCAACTTCTTGTGAACTGGAGAAACTTTATCAGGTGCAGGATCCTACATGCTTATTCTTTTGTTACTAAATATATGTAAGTTGTCATGATTACCTTTTTTTGGTTAATGTTAATTTGATGTCTTGATTTGCAGGCTGTCAATGATCTTTGTCTGCACAAGATGGGGGGAAGTTTATATCAGCGTATTGAAAAGGAATGTGAAGCACACATTTCTGCAGCCCTACAATCCTTGGTTGGCCAAAGCCCAGATTTGCTAGTCTTTTTATCACTCGTTGAGAGATGCTGGCAAGACTTCTGTGACCAGATGCTGATGATTCGGGGGATTGCGCTGTATCTGGATAGAACATATGTTAAACAAACCCCCAATGTGCGATCTCTATGGGATATGGGATTGCAGCTTTTCCGACGACATCTTTCATCATCTCCTGAAGTTGAGAACAAAACAGTAAACGGCCTTCTGCAGATGATTCAGAGAGAACGGTACTTCAAGTTTCACTTTTTCATGTGTTTTGAGATTGGCAGCTGTCAACTAAGTTGAATGTGAACTGGTTATCTGTATGTTGTGTCTCGCTGCTAATTTGCCATGTTTCCCCCTATGGATTAGATAACTCTTCACCCAAATCTATGGTGGGTCCAATGAAATGTCAGTGAAACTACATATAATTAATGAATACGAGTGATATGCTATTGCTTGCTTTTATGAATTTTCAAAGTGGTTGACGCATTGGTCTTACACCTGTAGTTTGAAATCTTCGTGTTTGAACAATCAGGAGTTCATAATATTGGATCATGATGCTTTGTCAAATATTGAAGCTGCTGCATTGCTAGTCATCTATGGATTGATGTTGATCTGCTAACTTTGTTAGATATGGGATTTTGATTTTGGCGAAAAATCAAATTTGGGCTTACACGTCTATTTTTGGTCTGTCAGATTAGGTGAAGCAGTTGATAGGACACTGCTCAACCATCTTCTTAAGATGTTTACAGCTCTTGGAATTTATCCAGAGAGCTTCGAGAAACCTTTCCTTGAATGCACTTCTGAATTTTATGCTACTGAAGGCATGAAGTACATGCAGCAATCAGATGTTCCAGATTACTTGAAGCACGTCGAGGTACTTCAGTTTTTTTATTAATAAAATATCCAGGTGTATTACTGGTGTGGCTTTGGGATTTTCTGCAGGTTCATTATAAGCTGTGCATTCCTGCAGATAAGGTTGCATGAGGAGCATGAAAGATGCTTACTTTACCTTGATGCAAGCACTAGGAAGCCTCTAATAGCAACTGCGGAGAGGCAGCTTCTTGAGCGGCATATATCCGCTATTCTTGATAAGGTGCTGCTATATTTGAAGTTTTATCTTGGTAATGTGTGCTGGGTGTCTTTGTGCAGTCAGTAATCAATATTTCGCCATTTAGCAGGGTTTCATGATGCTGATGGATGGGCATAGAATTGAAGATCTCCAGAGGATGTACTCCTTGTTCTTGAGGGTCAATGCCCTTGAATCATTAAGGCAGGCCCTTAATTCATATGTTAGGAAAACTGGGCAGGCCATCGTTATGGATGAAGAGAAGGACAAGGACATGGTTCCATCCCTATTAGAATTTAAGGTGTCTCTGGACCGAATATTGGAAGAAAGCTTTGCCAAGAATGAAGCATTTTGCAATACCATCAAGGATGCTTTTGAGCATCTGATTAATCTTCGCCAGGTTGATATGCCCTTCTTGTTGCCTTGTGCACATGGATTGATGGCAGTCATAATTAATGGATGAAATTCTTTGGTCTCCAAATTAGGTCAAATTTTTTTATTTAATTTTGTGTGCGATCATGATAGATATTCACCAGTTCTTGCTGTTCTTATTGGCATTGATTTTCTGTATTTATCTACTTCTTTTCACTGTTTGATTATATGGTAGCTATAGCTGTTTATAACTTGATATACTTCCAATTTCCTGACTAACCATCCAAAGTTCCTACCCGCAGAACCGTCCAGCAGAGCTGATTGCTAAGTTTTTGGATGAGAAGCTTCGTGCCGGGAATAAGGGTACTTCTGAAGAGGAGTTGGAGGGTATACTTGATAAAGTTTTAGTTTTGTTTAGGTTCATCCAGGGGAAAGACGTTTTTGAAGCATTTTACAAGAAGGATCTTGCAAAACGACTATTGTTGGGGAAAAGTGCGTCCATTGATGCTGAGAAATCTATGATATCTAAGGTGTGCAATTGTTGCATCTGGCTGCATTTCATTGGATATCTACTGCCCATTGATATTAACAATCTTCACTTACGAGTGCAGCTCAAAACTGAGTGCGGGAGCCAATTCACTAATAAGCTTGAAGGGATGTTCAAGGTATACACATTGCATTAATCTGCCATTGTGGTTTTCTTCCTTTCCTATGAAGGGATATCATAATTTTTATGACTTTTTTTTTGTCTTATGTCACTCTTCTGCGACCTCGTGTATTAGCAACACTTTTTCAGTGAGGAACTAAATTGCACTATGAAGCTTCTTGAAGCTTGTGCATATTTAAGCTATTAGACTTGGAGCCTTTCTATTCACTATCCAACCCTGATAGCCTCAGCATCTCTCTATCGATTGTGCAGGATATTGAGCTATCTAAGGAAATCAATGAGTCTTTCAAACAGTCGTCTCAAGCAAGAACGAAACTTCCATCAGGAATCGAGATGAGTGTCCACGTCTTAACAACTGGGTAGGTTGGATTGTGTCTTCATGGAATCTATGCAGAGTTCTTTATACTTTCTTTATTAATGCTCAAAATATTTTTGTTGGTGCAGTTACTGGCCCACGTACCCGCCAATGGATGTCAGGCTTCCTCACGAACTGAATGTCTACCAGGTTTGATGTTTCACTTGCCTGACCAATTATTGTTGAAGGTGCATAGTCATGCTCGGAAGTGGGATTTTGACTGCTCATATTTCTTTCATGGCACAGGATATTTTCAAGGAATTTTACCTGAGCAAACACAGCGGGAGGCGATTAATGTGGCAGAATTCCTTAGGTCATTGTGTATTGAAAGCCGAGTTTCCAAAGGGGAAAAAAGAGCTTGCAGTATCTCTGTTTCAGGTCAGTTCTCCTGGTTAGAGAGATTAGCTGTTTGTGTTTGAGTCGATACCTGATGTCAAGCTGGAACAATTGCTCTGTGAATTCACTCTGATATCTTTTGTGCTCGGAGTTGCAGACTGTGGTTTTGATGCTGTTCAATGATGCACAAAATCTCAGCTTTCAAGATATCAAAGATGCTACCGGTATAGAGGATAAAGAATTAAGGAGGACCCTCCAATCCCTCGCATGTGGGAAAGTTCGGGTACTGCAAAAGGTGTGTGGGTTGTCTTATCTTCTGCACCACCAGATAGTTATTGCTGTTTCTTTTCACATTAATTTTTATCAATCTGACCCTTTTTTTGCCAGACACCGAAAGGAAGGGATGTTGAAGATGGCGATTCATTTATGTTCAATGAGACATTCACTGCCCCACTCTACCGCATAAAGGTATTTTGAGTTGCGACAAATGATTGCCTTACCACCTGCCTGCTGAAATTGGTTAGTGCGTGAGGGCGTTTAGGCTGAGAGTTATATGGTTTTGTGATTGCAGGTTAATGCTATCCAAATGAAGGAAACCGTGGAGGAGAACACAAGTACCACTGAAAGAGTATTTCAGGATCGTCAATACCAGGTAAATCAATAAACCTCCATTGATATATGAGATGGGGCGTTTGGGTTGATACACCCATACTCACATCAGTGTGGATTTGCCTACTCCAGGTTGATGCTGCAATTGTTCGGATAATGAAAACGAGGAAGTTGTTGAGTCACACTCTCCTTATCACTGAACTTTTCCAACAGGTAAGTAATTTCTGGATTAAAAAGTGGGCTCACACTTTCTTGTTGAACCGGTGATTTGTAATGAACATGTTGTCTACTGCTGCTGCTATGTTATGGAACAGCTGAAGTTCCCAATAAAGCCGGCGGACTTGAAGAAGAGAATAGAGAGCCTGATCGACCGGGAGTACTTAGAGAGGGACAAAAACAACCCCCAACTATACAATTACCTGGCCTAACCTTAGAAATGCTTTTCTTATTTATTTATTGCTTAATACCAATCTTCTCTCTCTTTTTGTTGATCTTTCTATTTCTCCTTTTGCTGTTGGTGTCCATGACGGACATTGAAGTGGCAGTCACCTCAGATATTATTGTACAGTAGTAGTACGTTGTAGTGGATCCTTTTCTTTTGAATTGTCTGCTGCAGTGAACACCTGTAATTGTAAAATGTACTCTCTTCCGTGCTCTCTTTTCCCGTTTAGCACCCTCGTAACGGTGGATCAATTCGATGTTCCATTTCGGATTAGAGTACAAGTGTAGACTAAGTAAATCAATGGATAGTCTTGGTCCTCTTGAAAAACCTATATCGGGCTGCTTCGAGTGACACCACCCTACCCGTATCAGCAACCTGCAATGCATGATTTTGGAAAGAATATGTTGGGCGGCGGTGGTTGGTACACGGTGAAAATGATGCCTTCTCCGATAGGCAAAGAGAGGGATTATGATGGAGCGAAAAAATCATGGTTTGTGAAACCATACTTGAAGGTCATGTCAGACTTGTTTGTGGTAGAGTATTTTGTCGTACGATCGTGGTTCAACCCTTGTGTACTGGTAAAATATCGTTTTTGTAATAATAAAAATATTATTTTTAAAATATTTTATCGGCAAAATTAGGGTACCATTTCGGAGTAATACATGGATAAAACTGGAATATACTAGATAACAAACATGAATATGCTAAATAGGCATAGGTGACGACTCAAGATAGGGTGCATAACCAAATCTGGACCCTTCATTTAGAAAATCCAGATCTAATGATGGAGAATTAAAGACCATTTTTATTTTTCCTGGTTTTCTTAATCGACCCATATCTTCTTCGTTTTAACTCGGATTTTAATTTTTTTTTTTTTTTTTTGCACAGATGGAACGAGTTCATCGTGCTCTACAAAATGAGATCTATTTTCAATATTTTTTTAGAAAAAAGAAATTCTTGCCTCTCGGTACCAACTACATACCATATGGTATCTTCTTCGGTTTTAATTCGTTTTTGAAAACGTTTGCACAGAAGGGACGAGTTCATCATGATCTATTGGAACTACAAATTTCTGGGTAAACAAATTACAGGACCAAAAATTACAACACAATACCACCCTGGTACAGGGTGGTATCTTATGGTACACAATGTTAAAAGTCGTAAATGACAATTAATATACTTCTACTATCATGTATTCAATCATCCTACAGTCTTGGTTTGTTCATACCACCATGGTACGCTTTTCAAACCATAGGTATGATCTTATTTCAATACCAGTCAATACCATATGGTATAGACTGGTAAAAATTGGCTCAATTTTTTTTTGTTCGAAAAATATATCAAAGTGGATATCATTTTGAAGAGCATAATTAATATGATCTAACTGTGCAAAAAAAATTAAATTTTGACTTCAAACGAGTGAGAAATCGTCCGTCAATTAAGGAGGGGAAAATTAAAAACTTTCCAAGAGAGAGGGATGTTGATATCATGCTGATGTGTACGGGTTACTCATGGTTACTCACCATAAGGTTACTGACCTGATCCGTTCTCATAGATGACATAACAGTCAATAAAGTACAACATTACAATATCGAATCAACTACATAATCGTCCAAACGGATGTTTAGAATTGATCACAAAGTACAAACAACAAGACAACCAAAAAATGTTCACAAACCACAATTTCACAACTACCAAACCCAAATAGAAACTACTACAACGTTCAGTACCTTCAAACAACACCAAACGTAGACAAGTCTACATTAAAAGGATTTTGGGATTAAGTAATTAAGAAGAAAAATTGTCCACTACGTTAAAAGAGCTAAGTTTGAGGAATATCGACTAAGAAAAAATATTTTTGGTATATAGGATTAAGGAATTAAGCAGATTAAGGAATTTCTCGTCAAAGTAAATAAAGAACCATCTCTTGAGAGGTGAGTGGTTTAAGCGGGTAAATTCTATGTATGTTTAAGTACTTGTTTGGAGCCGGGCAAAATAGTGATGAAAACGGCTCTATCTGTCAGCCCTGAAGAACCCTAGGGTGTCCAATTGTCTGCTACATTGCATCTAAACGAGTATGGCTCAAACATGGATAACCTAGTTGTGGGATTGAGGAAATGCTATTTTCTTGAGCTGAAGGGTGATCTGGAGGAGGTCTCATCTCCTAAGAAACAATTTGCAGAGGAGGAGGACGAAAATGACGAGGTGGAGGTAGCCAACCCTAAATGTCCCTAGTTGGATAAATGAGGATTATGGCTTGGAATGTGAGAGAGATCGGACCAACCCTCACATTCCGTACTGTGTAGGGTTAATTCATTCTAATAAATCTGATCTGGTTTTCCTTTCAAAACCAAGGTCGAGCCATAGGGTTGTGTCTCGTAGGATGCGAGGTTTAGCTTTTGATAGTTCTCATTGTTTTTTTGTTCACGACGTTGATGTATCTGGTGGTCTTGTTGTAGGATGGTCCATGGAGTTGATGCTTCGGTATTTAGTCATTCCAGTTTTCACATTGCTGTTTGTATTAATGAGAATAATTTTTCTTTTGTGGTTGTGTGTGTATATCAGTTGTAATGAGGCTCTTCTGTCTGATCAATTTGATCCAATTTCAAAATCTGTGTGAAGAAATCCAATTGCCCGATGTGGTGATGGGTGATTTCAGTACCATAATATCAGGAAATGACAAGGATGGTAGGAACCTTTGGAATCCGTCTCACTCTGTTGCTCTCGAAAATTTTGTGAATGACCAGGGCCTCCATGGTGTAGGATACCATGGGGATCAATTCACATGGACCGATAAGCGAATGGGGTCGGTTTGTATCCGAAAGTGGCAGTCACCCTGAGGTGGCAGAGCTTATGGTTCCAAGGTGAGGAAGTTGGTGTCAACAATCTCTTTTGAATTTATTTCCACCAGACATAGTTTGTGATATTAAAGAGATTCCCTTACCCCGTGTGGGGATTGAGGATACTTTGGTTTGGCACGATAGTGTGATGGGGTGTTCACTACCCAGTCTGCATATCATCTTACGATTTTGGTGGATAGGCAGTTGGGGCGTTGGCGATCCACAGTGAGTTGGATGGATAGAGAAAGTTGGATGCGAATGTGGGATCTTTCAATTTTTCCTAAGCTAAAATTGTTTCTTTGGCAAATTTTCTAGCTTATTCTTCCCACTACGGAGTCTATGATTCAGAAAAAGGTCCAGATGTTGCCTCAATGCCCATTGTGTTGGGTGAATTTGACACAATGGAGCATCTCTTTTTGGATTGCCCAATTCCTACAGCTCAATGGATTCACTCGGGTCTGGAGCATCTGGGGCAAGGATTGTCGCATCATACCTTCCCTCTTCTTGTCAAAAAAATGCTTGCTTCAAATGACCCAGCCGACTCAAATTATGGCCATGGTTGCGGTCTTATAGCTTATTTTGAAATCTATAAATTGGGTTGTCTTTGAGGGAAAAGGATTTCAGATTGCGCATTTGATGCGCTAATACCATCAGCAACTCCATGAATGGGTTTACCTTCGGAAGATAGATTGACTCTGAATCAGCTTCCTTTGCATCAGAGTTTGGATGCAGGAGGTTCTTCCTATGTCATCTGTATGTGGGATGGTGCGATATGCGTCAACTCGCATTCAACAAGAGAACTGGTCCTTAAGGATGAAGGAGGCTCTGTTGTCTTAGTTAGAGGATTGGTTTTTGAGAATATTGTCGACCCTCTTGTGGTTGAGACTATTGTCCTCCACGAAGCTATTCAGTGGTGTCGGGACCTTGGACTTTCTCAGGTTCGATTAGTAGGCGATGCTAAGGTGCTCATTGACAAGATTAATTCCAACGATACGCGAGATAGCCGTGTTGGGGTTATTATTTAGGAAATTCTTCACATGTTGGTTTTGAATAGTGGTTTTCATGTTCAATTTGTAGGTCGGATTAGCAATATGGTAGCCCATCTTGTGGCTCGGAAGGCCCTTTCTTTACCTCCGATCTCATGTCGTATTTGATTTTTGTACATGGATTAGTTCCAGGGTGTAATCTCTTATCTTTTCATCAATCGATGTGATTATCTTTTGTTATAAAAAAATCTTTACGTGAAGTTGTGCCAATGTTGGATTGTGGTTGCGTGCTTTACTTGAGATATGGTTTTTAAGCATATGTTTATGAGCTTTAAAATTTTATTAGAAGGTTTTACACTTATGTTTTATTGAAGTTTTTCTAATCTCTAAAGATCGATGTTTAAGAGCTATTTCACCACTAAATAAATTAGGGTAGAAAGGTTGACAGGTAGTTCACTAACACCAGTCCTCGCCCTAGTGCAAATTTAAAGGAAGAGCATAGTTTGCTCATAAAGATCATGGAGATGAATCAATAAGACTCCCACGAAGTTTACAGGCTAAAGGAATGTGGGGATGAATCAATAAGACCCCCACAAAATTTAAATGTTAAAGGTTAGGCTTAGGTTGGCCCTCATACGTATGAGCTGACCGGCTGGACTAGTTAGTGAGAGGATCCCTAAGTCTGTCTAATGTTTAAGTTTTTCGAGGGTGGCGTGTAACTCGAACTCTCATGTTTTAAGAGTATGAAGGTTTGAAGGGTGGAAGTATAAACAACTTCAACAATTTTTAAGGTGAACACCTAAGGAAATAGCCCTAGGTGTTTTGAGTTTAAGTAACAACGTAGACTAATCCGAACCCACTCCCCAGGACCTAGAGAGGGAGCTAGAGAGCATCCAGTGAGAGAGTAGACCGTCAGAGGAGGACCACGCCAACTCTACTGAAGGTGTCTGGCCACGGATCGGAGTAAGCAGGGTTCTTGACCTTTAGTTATTTGCTTTTATGACTTTATGGTTGCCCAAGTGTTAGGGCTTTGCTTTTGAATTATAAGAGTTTATTTTAATATGGTATTTTAAACAAAATATTATTCGTTTCTTCAAAATTTTAAATATGCTCCGGAGCAAAACTATTATTTAAAGTTTTTAAAGACTAGGATGTTACAT